GTCCCAGGGATGTCATTTAGAAGTTTCACTCTGACTTTGAGATGGCCCATTTGAAAACTTTGTATTGTTGAAAAAACAGAACATGATATTGTAACTCCCATGAGAGACTCAAAGAAAGAGACTGACCTCAAATAGTTGCATTCCTGGGGAAGCTCCAGTATTTCAAATCTCCTCTTGAGGCTTTTCACATTTCTTGAAATTAAAATGATGCTTTTGTACCTTATCACCAGCCAAGCCAGGAGTGTTCTTAACACTCAAATGGAGTCAAGGAGATCACTGGTATATATCTGTCAAAACCCCAACAGCACCACCAGAACCAGGGCACTCTTCCCAGGCTCTGACTTGGTACATCTTGATAATCTCAATGGTTACATTCAGTGCTGAACAGCTTCCATCCGTCTATGAATCATGTCAGAAGAAAGGTCCCTTTTTATAAAAGCTCTGTTTCTTAATGTTCATTGGTTTGAAGAAGTTCTCCATTTAGGGCCTGATCCAAAGCCCATTGATACCAATGACTTTAATGCACTTTGGAATAAACCTTTAAAAAGGAAATGTTCTGTAGACCGAAACAGTCTGTGAGCTGTTTTTTAATGCTTTATCTTATATACATAATAGGAGACCAGTAACTGTACCCTGGACTACTAGGATTTGAACGTTGCAATGTAGCATGGGAAAGGCAAGATTCTCTAGATCTGCAAAACAAATTTTATATTTGATTTGTGGCCAAAAGTAGTAGAGAATCCTTTGCAGGTGATACACAACCAAACAAATATACTTCTTGTTGAATTGTTTGAATTCTGTTCCTTTTCAAAATTCAAGTCAATTAGTAAAACTTACACATTTACATATTTATATTTAGTACCATACTCCTCTGATGGTAAAATCCAAAGAGTTCATAAGTCCAGAAAGATAAACACATAACAAGAAAAGAAAAAGCTTACTGAGTCAAAATGCACTTCAAGGGTGTGAGCCACAGTCTACTGAGTCAACAGGAATCTTTCTATTTACTTTGATAAGCTTTCAATCAGGGATGTGAGATGGGATGTGAAATAAACAAAAGCTACTCAAAAGATCATGATTCAATTGCCAAAAAACTAGCTTCATTTTCGCAATCTTAAATCTAGATTCCTGCATAATTTACCAGCGTTCTGCTAAAATAAACATCTAATCTATTGATAGTGGCAAAAGCCCAGCCTGAGATTAACGCTTGTGCATGTGATGTTTGTAAAATAAAATTAAAACTGAATAATTCATTTTTTCAATCAATAATTTAAAGGATATGACAAAAGAACAGTTAAAAGTGCAGCTTTCCAAGCAACCTGTCACAGCTTGTGAAGTAAAAGTCAACAGAATCTTCCAAGAGTTTCCTCTACACATGCTGAGTTCCTTCCAGAGAGGAAATCTTGGCATGCTAATAATTAAATGCTGAATACAGCATTATAAATGAGAGGAAAGCAGTTGGCTTTCTCTACTGTGCTGATACAAAACACAAACGCATTTCACTCCAACACTAGCCTCTCTTCCTTACGCATCTAGAATAGAAGGCAAAGGACATGGAAATTGGGTTTTAAAAAAATCCCAAACCAGTTTGCAAGTGATCTCATTGTCTTAATTTGTCTGTGGGTAGAAGGCAAATAATAAAATAAATTTGAATGCACATGGATAATATCAGGTAGTGAATTAGAACTGGGGACTGGGTACTTTGTCCTTTAATCTCATCTCTGCTATTTTGTTGCATGACACTGGGCATGGCACTTAACTTTTCTGTGTGCATTTTTTTGCTTTGATAAAAAAGATCTGCTGAAATGACCTTGATCACTGCCCAGTCTGGATTAAGTGTGGGGCAGTTCTCAGTAGCAGAGTGTCATCTGAGGAAATCATCTTGAAGAATCTGTTCAGCATCTCTGTGATTCTCAGAACACAGAAGCTCTTCCTCTTCTGGTCAATGGTTTCACAACTAATTAACTTCCTTTTGTTGCAACCACCTGTCTGAACTGATGATGGGGAAAGAGAGGAGCTTGTCCCTGGAAGATTCTACTACAGGGATACTAGGGTTAGGTTACGATTATGAAAGCACTGCATCATTCTATCTGTGCCCCAGTATCTTTTCAGTACTGGGATATCAGTAAATTAAACACTCATTTAATTTCTGGTGGGAGAACAGGGAGGCATTATTTTCCTGTTATAGCCCTGAAAACCCCCAAATGTTGATATTTCAAAGGTTTTTCACTTTCCTGTTCACACCTAAAATTTACTGTATCTGTTAACAATCCAGGCTTGAAAAACAGCAACATTTTGTTCTCTGGAATACTGCTGTTACCAGTTTTCACACTGTTACAACTGGTAATGGAACGTCGGATTCCTCTGAATTTAATGTGTGGCTATAAGCTTGACTTAGCATAACCTGTTCTTTAACTTCATCTGAGCATATGTTAACTGACAGAAATTATATTTGTCTTGCAATGTCAAGCTAGTTGTGTACAGTAATCTCCTCAAACAATAAAGAAAAACTAAAGCTTAAGGAATCAGTGAATGGAAGGTTTAACTGTGACATTTTGTGTTTCTTCCTGCAATGCAATGTGAAATATTCATTTTCATATTATACAGCAGCTGCATGTTCACCTATTTATGTGTTTAGACTATCAATATTTGTGACATCCTTTACAAAGAAAAGGTTGTTAGGTGTTAGGGAAGTGTGGTTCTGAGCACAGGATTGGCAACCAAGAACCCTGTGAAAGCTACAAGCCTAGGCCAAGTCACCCACTGGTCTGTTTCTCCTTTTTTTCATTTGCAAAATGGGGTTAATAAAGTTAATTCAAAAGAGGTTGGAAAATACTGTGGAAATTAAAATTGCTATAGAGTATTACAGGGACAGGTTTTTGACCTACATGAAATACAATTTTTGGATAAAAAGTCATATCCCTCCTACAGTGCAGTATGCTATATCCTTAAAATGATTTATCATATTGGTCATGAGACCAAGCCACTACAGATTTTTGTGGGATCTAGGACAGTCTTCTCAACTTTTAACCTGCACAATAACTACAGTGCTATAATAGAAACCTGAAGAGCTTTTTTGATATTTGTCTCTGGTTTTCTAACCTTGTCTACACAGGAAAGCTCTACAAGTTTTTGACTTCCTCTGTAGCAGGGGCCATGGTCCTCTTCCTTGTATTTCTTGAGTATGTTTAACAGCCACTTCCTGGCCTTACAGCAGCAGAATATTGACAGTGCCCTTGTCCCCCTGCTTTACCTGAGGCAGGTAAGGGTGTTGTTGGCACTTTAGAGCAATGTGCTTGGTAGTTGTGTGACAGGGTTGTTTGGTAGTTTTAAGAATAGACAAACACTTGTATAGGCCAGTTTTGGTAGGGGTAATTGTGCCTTGAGCAGGGACCAGTATAGCTTGTATAGTATATACAAGTCCTTAGACATAGAGGACAAATGATAATTTTTGGCTGTATCCCTCTGGCATGGACTTCTGGTGTGAACTTGAGCAAGCCCTATCACTGTTTTTATTTTGTCTGCAAATTGGGAATACTTAAATTTTCCCACTCTTACCTGTGACGGGGAAGTTAACTCATTCATGTGTGCAAAGCATTTTGAAATCCTTAAATGAAAAACACTATACATATACAAACTGTTGTTGTACTCGGAGCCCTTTAATTGCTACCATCATGGAACAGACTCCTAAAGGATAAATTCTGGACTGCACAATCTTCTTCCAGAGAACAAGTATCTTGAAAAAAGTCCTTTCTTTTAATATGCAACATCTTCCTGATTTGCTTTGCAACTAGCACTCTGTCCCTGCATCTCTGCTGCCAAAACTTTCCACCAATGTTTTAACATAACACTGAAATCACAACATAATGTCATGAAGCACTTAGTATACTAGAGCAGTTTGGTCATACGCTTTGCTCGTGTGCCAGGCATAGTAAATAGCAGTGAAGCAGTTCAGCTAGAGAGACTGTTTCTACTGCTAGCAACCAGTACTGGAGACTGTTATTCTATTTAAAAGGGTGTCACAGCAAAGAGAAAACAGCTGCACACTGCTGCACAAATTTGGGGGGGAGGAGGGGCAAAACTACTTAAGATTTAATCCAAAGTTGACTGAAGGTAATGGAAAGACTCCTATCCATTTACTTAGAAGATTAAATCAAACTCCATAATGATTTCCTGGATCTTGGAATTCCCTCTAATCACACCATACTGGAAAAATATATGCTTTTTTTTTAAATTTAATTTGTATCCAAGGCCAAGTTAACCAAAACTAGTTCCAAATTCAAGAGTCCAGAGCCGTAAGTGGCCCTACTACTGGCAAACATCCTCCACCCACACCTGGGGCTTCAGAGGTTTCCAAAACCTTTAGCAGGTATCCTACTTGCAGACCCAAGCCCGGAGGCTTGGGGTTCGGATACCCCCAGGTTTTGCTTGCCCTCAGCCATAAGGCCCTTGGAGCAAGCTAGGGAAAAGACTCCCATTTCCATAAACTGGGCTTCAAGCCACTGCACCTCGGCGGGTCCTGAACCACGCCGTGAGAGCAGCTCTCCTGCGAGGCGGTTCAGGAAAACTGGAGACAGATACATGGTATTGCCCCTGCCAGGTTAAGAAACCATTATGAGCCTTCAAGAAGCCGAGAAGCAAAACATCTGCTATCAACATCCGTAAGTTGACGTCTCGAGGCAAGTCGTGTCAAGGCTCAGGAAATACCCGGTGATGCCCCTGTTTTGAGTCGAGTCACAAAGTCAGTGACTGCGTTTCTCAGGGGCAGTGAAGTACTCGGCAGGTGCCCGAGATTTGCGGGGCCAAAGCCGCGCGGACAGTTTGCCAAGGACCCGCCAAAAGGTTGCACCTAACGCGGGTAAGAAGAGCGGCCTCCCTGGGCCGCGCGTCCGCATGCCACGTCCCACCGGCCCCGCCGCCGCTGACCCGGCTCCTTCCCCACACGGGCAACGCCCCGGCCCC